GCTTGTTTCAGTAGCGGGTCAGTGCGCCCATAACCCCCCAGGCAAATGTGCCTGTAACCCTTCCCTAGGATCGATCGGGGATCACCAGTGGACCTCTGACACCCCCCCGCACTGGGATGCCCGAAGTGCATACACCGGGATTCGAACCCGAGACCTTCGCTCTGATACCATCTCAGAATCCCAACCACTAGACCATTGGGATAAAAGGGCTTGTTTCAGTAGCGGGTCAGTGCGCCCATAACCCCCCGGGCAAATGTGCCTGTAACCCTTCCCTAGGATCGATCGGGGATCACCAGTGGACCTCTGACAGACATCAGTACCCGAATTCACGTTCCACACTCAGCGACGCTACAACTACAACAACAACAACCGGCAACAACAACCGAAGCCAGTACCTCCGTTCTGCCACATCTGCAAGACTTCAGGGCATCCTCGTACTCAATGCCCGAATCGACAACAGTCAACGTCGCCGCAACGTCAACTTCGTCCTTCAAGCAGTCAAGTTGCCTCAATACAAGCAAATCCGACAACCTCGGTACAAGTGTCAACAACATCGATAAGAAAACCTGCAAAAGAAGCAAGAAACATCGTCAGCTGCATGGCAAGACTAAGCAACTCCTGCGTAACTGAGTCACCACCACATTACTCACCAGAAGAACAACTCGACATCAGCACGCCTCGCCGCGAGTCACTTCAACCGAACCCGACGTACGCCGCCATCGCTCAAAGCGAGCCGTCCGGAAAGGACACATGGTTCTTGGACAGTTGCTGCGGGCAGCACATGTGCTCCTCGGGACGCTTCGTTCAACGAGAGCACCGACTTCAACGAGAGGTTGTCATCACAGTCGCCAACAACCAAAACCTGCGCACACGACGACAAGGAATTGTACAACTTCAGTCACGAGAGACAAACGTCATACTACAGATGTCAAAGGTACTAATCGCGGAGGGAATCGGCTACAACTTACTAAGTGTCAGTCAGTTGATGGCGAAAGGCATACACCTGGAAGCCGACAGTACCACCCAGGAGTTCAAACTGTACCACGGGAAGGGCGGCCTCTACATCGGAAAGGCGGTCCTGAAGAATAATGTCTTCGTCCTCGACTTCGTCCCATACCTGGGCACCGCAGACAGCGACGCCATCGTAAACTTCGCTGACTGGACACACCCTCCAGATCTTGATCCAGACTTCAGTCCGGAAGGCTTTTGGTATTCACATACAATTCCTGAAGCAGAACGAACACGCGCGTTAGTAGCAATTCAACATTCGGCAACAGCAGAGACAACATCGGCAGCAGCAGAGACAACATCGGCAGCAGCAGAAACAACATCGGCAGCAGCAGAAACAACATCGGCAGCAGCAGAGACAACATCGGCAGCAGCAGAGACAACATCAGCAGCAGCAGAAACAACATCGGCAGCAGCAGGAACAACAAGAGCAGCAGCAACAACGACTCCAATCCTCGTCAATGAAACACCGCCAACGCCAGCACAACAGCTCCACCCAGCACCACGAGAATTTCATCGTAGCGCCAACTTCATCGCCAGCTTTTACTCCAACTCTGACATGTACCGGCGATCACCCGGGCATCGCGCCGACGAAAGTACTTGGCATCCAAGAATGGGACACGCAAGCAACACTGTGTTAAACAACACCATAAGAGCAGGAGTCCTTGACAAAGACTCGTTACTACTACTCGACGGAAGAGAACTTCAACGAGCACGAGGAACATGCCTCATCTGCCCCGAAGCCGACTTACCGCATCGGCCGTTCGCTCCTCGTCACAACCCGAGTGCACCCGCGTATGCACCACTCGAAAAGGTGTACAGCGACATCCTGTACAATCGGGAGCCAGGACAAGTAATCTACAACTACACAATCACGTTCATCGACGCCGCCACCCGCTACGTCTGGCACTTAAACCTACCCAGCCGCGACATGGCCCTCGCAGCGTTCGCTGCCTGGCTACCAGTAGCAGAGAGAGAGTCGGGGGTAAAGCTGAAAAGCTTACAGTCAGACGGAGGAGGAGAATACACCTCTCACGCTTCAAGCAGTACCTGGCAGAAAGAGGCATCAAGCAGCTACTCTCCCTTCCCTATGCACATCAACAGCAAGGCGTAGCAGAAAGAATGAACAGGACTCTGCAGAACAGCATGCGCAAACTGTTGCGTGGCATGCGGCTACCCAACCACCAGTGGCCTGCAGCAATGGACCACGCTGTCATGCTGCACAACTTGCTGTCGTCATCATCGCTTCCGAACAAAGCATCACCGCATCTGCTGTGGACAGGGAAACAGGGCAGCACAAAAATGTTACGAGTGTTCGGATGCATGGTACAGTACCGACCCCCAGCAGCACGAGCGGGAAGATTTTCACAACGCGCAAAGTGGGGACTACACCTCGGCATCGAAAAGAATTACAACGCATGGAAAATCTTCGACATCCACTCCAAGGAAACAGTAGCAGCACGCGACGTCATCTTCTACGAACGACTCACACTCCAGACATACCTTGCCAACCTGCAAGAGGACCAAGATCCCACAGGTGGTTTTCGTGGAGACCGAACCTTCGCCTCCGCAGAAGACGAAGCTGAGTGGGACAAGCAAAATGTGGACAGCGCGTCAGAAGAAGTCGGACCTCTACCGTTCTGCTCCGTCGACGTTCCCATGGACGAAGACAACCCTCGCGAAAGCGTCAACGCCGAAACCTTCTACTACTTCGCCGACAACGGTTACGTAACACCTGCGACAGTCAACACCAACGAAGCAGAACGAGTAGGACCAAATTTCTTACCCGATCCAGAAGCGGGGGATGAAGCAGCTTATCCCGAGGACGCAAATCTTCCCCGCTACTCACAAACTGGACTGCAGATACTCGGCCTCGTCACCGCGGTCCACGGAGACACCATTCCTAAGGAGCCTGCAACGGTTCAGCAGGCTCTGGGGGGGGAACACAAGGAGAAATGGCGTGAAGCCATGGACAAAGAGTTAAAGGCGCTGGAGGACCGGAACACCTGGAAAATTGTCCCCATCAGCGTGGCGAGGAACAAAACCATCCTCACCGGGAAATGGGTCTTCCTCGTTAAAACAAAAGCAGATGGCACAATTGAGAAGTTCAAAGCACGCTGGGTTGTGCGTGGATTCGACCAAGAGCACGGACGGGACTTCACCGAGACATTCGCCCCGGTTAGCCGACATACCTCACTTCGAATCATCCTTGCGATCGCCGCCATGAAGAAAAAGAACCTGCGACAAATCGACGTCGCCAACGCATTCCTCTACGCACCTGTTGATGCCGAAATCTTCGTTGAGTTACCACACAGCTCCCACGGAGAACCCAACCAAGTTTGCCAGCTACTCAAGTCACTCTACGGCATCAAGCAGGTCCCGCGACTATGGCAACAGCACCTGCACGCTCGCCTCATCCGCATCGGCTTCAAACAACTACCGCACGATCAAGGCATGTACCGTCTACGTGGATGATCTTCTCTACATCGGCTCGACTGATGGCATAATCACCTGGTTTTAAGGGGAGCTGCAGCGAGATCTCACGCTCACTGTCTCATCTACCGTCACTCAGTATCTCGGCCTCAACATCCGCGAAGAAAAGAACGCGATCTACCTCAGCGCCGAAAAATACGCTGACACTATCGCCAAACGCTTTACGATCACACCAGCAGCCATTTCCACGCCATACCGCTACACGGCAGGGAACGACAAAGGAGGCTCCGCCCTACTCAAACCCGCCGGCATACGAGACTACCAGAAGAAGCTGGGATGTCTACTCTTCGCAGCTGTCACCTGTCGTCCCGACCTCTCATATTCCGCAAGCCAGCTCGCTACATACCTCAAAAGGCCTGCAGCAGAGCATCTGGCGGAACTCGATCGCGCTCTCCACTACTTCGTCAGCACTCCGACGGTCGGCCTGACCTACCATAAGAACGCAACTGCATCACCTAAGCTAATCAGTTACGTCGACGCAGACCACGCGGGCGACTCCGACAACAGACGATCGCGCACCGGCTATATCTACCGCTTCGAGCCTATCGGGCCTATCTCCTGGCAATCGAGTAAGCAAGAACTAATTGCTCTCTCATCAGCCGAAGCATAATACATTGCACTCTGCTCAGCCACCAAGGAAGGACTCTACCTTCGCGAACTGCTAGAAGAGGCGAAGTTAGCCGAGTTACCCAACTTCACCCTTTTCTGCGACAACCAATCTGCAATCCGCATCGCCAACAAGAACGGCTTCGCGAACAGGACGAAACACATCGCCCTGCGATATTTTTTCGTGAAGGACGAGATCGAGAAGGGAAGACTCGCCCTGTCATACTGTCCCACGTCCGAGATGGCAGCTAACTACCTGACCAAGAAACTCGGAAAGCAGAAGTTCGAATACTGCATGTTGCTGACTGGACAAAGCCACGTCAGCGACACTCCAGAAGCGAAGGGGAGTGTTGGAAACAATCGGTCCTAAAAGCGCTTCTACCGTGTCGAAACACCAAGGCACAAGCGAAGCAAATCATATCGAGGCACCAGCGAGTCAACCCTCGGAGGTTGAAGTAACCGCTGGAGGTTACGCGAAGGTCAAAGGTCAGCAACCTTTGACTTGACAAATACAGCGCGACAGCAAGGACACACAACTGACTCGATACTGAGCAGTTGCCCGAGTCGTCACTGTATCGAACCGCAACAGCAACAGCAAAAGCAGTTACAACCGTATCTCTTCGTATTCCTTGTACCCTTATATAAACCTTTGTATTTGCTTGTTTTAATCAACTTACTTTGCCCTCACATACCAGCGCAAGGTGGTTCAGAATCTTCTCTTAAAACGCTTCCGCTATTACATCACTTTACCTAGAGTTTCATCCTATCAAATATCCTAAGGGGCTCTTTCAGCCCAACAGAACTCAGGGTACCTAAATTTGAAACGTCAGCCCTGATTACACCTGCTCGTCAACAATCGCACTAAATAAACCGCAATTTACCAATCTTCCTCGTCATGTATCAATCGTCCAGTTCCTCCAGCCCCCCACCTGCCGTTTCCCTCCCCCTCCCTCCCCACCGCCAACCCCTTTCCTCCTCCCTCTACCGCCACTCGTCCCTCCCCGCTTCCCCTTCCTTCCACTTGCCATCCCGCCCTCCTTTCCCTTGCTCGAGCCACTCGCACTGCCGCTCTGCTGGGAGTCCCCTTCGCTCTGCTCGTGGTTCGAGCTCCTGAGGAACATGCGAGGGATTGTCATTGTCGTCTTGTCAGAACCCAAGGAAGACACTTCCACTGACCCCTCTCCTCTCCCTCTCCCTTTCCCTCCCCTCCCTCCTTTTCCCCCTCGTTCGTCTCGCTCGCTTGTTTCTGTTCCTCTACGGTCTACTTGCTCCTCCTTGTCTTCGGCTTCCTTCTCCTCCTCCTTCTCCTCCTTCTCACTCACTCTCTTCAATCCTCCCATCCCACTTGTATCTTCCTCCACTGCCCCATTCCCCTCCCCTTTTACATGCCCCTGCTCCCGACCCTGGCATTCCGAACCTCCGCCTGCATGCCCGTCCGAACCTAGCCCAACGACGATCTCTGTTTCGCCTGACCTAGCAGGCCCCATCCACTCGCCCCACGTGCCGTTGCTCATGCCCGGACCACTGCTGCCGATCCAAAACGCAGCACCAAGCATACCGCTCCCTACCGCACCCGGCATAGCACCACACCCGCCCACAGCCCCAGTTGCAACCCCACAACTGCCTACCGCCGCACCTTCCCCTGCCCCAGTCACTTCTCCCCCACCCGGCCCACATAACCCCTCCCTTACGCCCTCCATGTTTGCTTCACCCCCAAGCACTGTGGCAGTCCCTGCTCTGCTCTTATCACCCGCTTCAGCTGAAACATGAATGTTGGCAGACACCAGGGGTCGTGTGCTGTTGAAAGCAGCGCCGACAATGGTGGCAACAGCACGAGGATAACTTAAATCTGATGCTTCACATTTCCCTCCCTCCCGTCCAGTCCCCTCTCTAAATCCCCCTCTATCTTCCCCTCTATCTCCCTCCCTTTCTCCCTTCCGTCCTTCCTCCCTCGCTTCCATTGTACCCTGCCCTTGCACACACCCCTTCTCTCCATCCCCACCCTGTTCGCCTGACAGGGCAAGCATCAGAAGATCCAACGGTGACGAATCCTTCCCGTCACTGCCACTACCACTGCCAATACCTCTGTCACCACCGCCCTTGTTGTTCTCCTTGCCCTCACCACCACCGCTGTTGCTATCCTTGCCACACTGCCCGCCTCCATTCGGTGCTGCTGACTCTGTCGCTGCTCCCCTGTGCTCTGCAGCGACCCCCTGCCGCTGTGGCACCTCCAGCTGCTGCACCTGCTGCTGCTGCTGCTCATGCTGTTGCTGAAACCCCTGATGTTGCACTTTTTGGAACCGTTGCTCGAGCTCCCCCTGTTGCTCCTCTTGTTCCACATGCCCCCTTCGACCACCCACCTCCTCTGCCTCTACTTGTGTCTCCTGGATCGCCTCCTCTGACTCCCCCCCACTCTGCTCCCTGCCATTCTCCCCCGTCCCCCCCATTGCCCCAATCTCCCGCATTTGCCCCAGTCCGCCTATCCCCTCTTCCCCCTCCTTCTCTCCTAAGTCCACTGGTTGAGTTGCATCAAAGCACATGACAGGCTCTTGTGATGGGGGCAGGGAGGGCAGTGAGGAGGGCAAGTGTTCAATGGGGGGAAGCTCCTGACTCAGGAAGATGGGGGTGGACGGCAGAGGCAGATCCTGGCTTGTAGGGATCGACCAGGGTTCCTTAAGCGAGTCTTTTAACGCGTCGCTTACAGCAGCAGCAGTGATTGTCACACCAGCAATGGTTGCAGCGCCACCCCTAGCATCACCCCTGGCACCAGCAGGGGGTGAGAATCTCCTAGCAGCAGGCTTCCACAAACTCTTACCTCCCCCTGTACCCTCTACCCCTCCTACTCTTCCATCCCCATCGCTACTCCCTGCACTGGTGTGTGTGGTCCTACCAGTACAGCCTACCCCAGGTGTACCTCCCTCTGCACAGCCCGCCTCCATGTTCCCTGAGCTGGCAGCACTGGCTGCCACGTCAGCAGATGAGGGCACCCGGGGCGTTGCTGGCGCTGCTACAGCTGCTGCATCGGCTGTAGCTGCATCAGCTGAAGTCACACTGGCAGCTACATTCCCTCCTGCTACATCCCCTCCTGCTACAGTCGCTCCTGCTACAGTCTCTTCTGCTACAGCTCCAATTTCGGTTTTCTTGGGAGAGCCATCAGTGTGCTCGTCTGTAGGCGTGGAGAGGAATCGGAAGGGGTAGTCATCTGGGGTACCCTGGGAAAACAGGGCGCCTTGGGAAAAGAGAGCGTTCTGGGAGAGAACGGGCAACCCTTCCAACCCATCCTGCAGGGAACCATGCCCTTTGTGGCCCTCGTCCCTCCCCTCTCCCTGCTGCTCCTGTGGCTCTGTCACTGCTGCTGCAGCTGCAGCTTCAACTGATGCTTGCTGCTGCAGTTGGTTTTCGTGCTGTTGTTGATGAAAACGCTGCTCCTGCTGGTAATTCTCCTGCTGCTGCTGCTGCTGCTGCTGCTGCTGCTGCTGATTCTCCCGATGCAGCTGTTGCTGGCGCTGGGCTTCCCCCTCCTGCAGCCCCACTCTGTGCCTCTGTGTTGCTTCCTGCAGAGTCATTGCCTCGCTGCCTGTCTCCCACTTCCCTGCCGCCCCATTATCATCCTGAGACCCCATAACGTGCACCCCCATTTCATGCACCTGCCCCAACCCATTCCCATGCACCTGCCCCAACCCATTCCCATGCACCTGCCCCAACCCATTCCCATGCACCTGCCCTGCATCCACCTCCCCCAAATGTGCCCCAATCTCTCTTTCCCCAGCCTCAGTCAGCATACTGTTCTCCCTGTATTTCCCTGCCTCTTGCGGCTGCTGCGCCTGCTGTTGCGGTTGCTGCAACAGTGGCGGCTGCTGCTGGTGAAGATATTGCTGCTGCTGTGGCTGCTGCTGTGGGTAATCCCCTGTCTCATTAGTCTGCTGGTACCCTCCCCCTTGCTGCTGCTGCTGCTTCTGAGCCAGGTATTGCCTTAGAGCAGTGGCAGGCAGGCTGGCAGCAGCAGCGGGTCGCATGGCAAGGGGAGCTGCTTGTATCGATGCCTGTGGCGGGAGAGAAAGAGGCTGGTGGGGGGAAAAGGGAGAGGAGAAAGAAAGAGGGCGACATTAAAAGACGAGTGAGAACAAGCTCGTGTGTGTGTCTGTTCGTGCGCGTGTGAGTGCGCGTGCGTGTGTGCGTGCGCGTGCGTGTGTGCGTGCGCGCGCGTGTGTGCGTGCATGTGCGTGTGTGCGTGCGTGCGTGCGTGTAAGTGTGTGTATGTGTGTTTTAGACCAACGCTCACCTCCTGTGAGTGTGGGTATGAGCCGATATCCGAGGCACTGTCTCCCAGCGACTGCTCATACGCCCTCAGGTCACTCACTCCTGCACTGCCCACTAACTCTGCAGCTGTAGCAGCTTCAGTTCTGGGGGTAATTGTAGCGGCATGGTTACCCTGCTGTTGCTGCTGCTGCTGCTGCTGCTCCTGCTGCTGTTGCTGCAGTTGGCATGGCACCAGCCGCCCTGCTTCTCCACCCCAGCCAGGCGGTTTCAACGCCACAAGACCCGAGGCAGAGTGCGCGGAGGGGGGCGTGATGGGAACAGGCATGGCAGTGCTGCTTGGAGTGACAGGCTCAGCAGCACCGGCACCAGCAGCAGCAGCAGAAGCGCCAGCAGCAGCAGCACCAGTGTCAAGGGGTTTGAAACCGCCAAGCCCCACCCGTCTCTGTGTGTTAGGAGGAGGAGAAAGGAACATTGCCCCAGCGCTGCCACTGCCATGCCCACTGCCGCTGCTGTTGCTGGTGATGCTGGTGATTTCACCTGCTGTCACACCACCAGTGCTAACACGAACAGAACCACCACCGCCACCACCACCAGCAGCACCACCTTTCCTACTGAAAGGAGTGAACCCTATACCAGGAACGCCAGTGTTTGGTGGCCCTGCTGTGCCTAATAAAGCCCCCTCCTGGACCCCACAGGGGGGTGCTTGGTTGTGGAAGGAGAGCAGTCGAGCAGGCCCTGCTAATGCGCCTGCTGCCCCTGCTGGCGCTACTTCTGCTGTGGTTATCAGATCAGCACCTGAGAAAGCACCTGAAATAGCACCTGAGGCAGCACCTGCTGCTGTGGAAACAGGAGAAGCTGCAGGGAGTAAGGGTGGTGGGTGGTGCCCTGGTGGCAAAAACGCCGCACCAAACGAGGCAGCAGCGGCTGACGTGGGTGATGGCTGCGATGCTTGAAACGTGCCCCTCGTTGCCAACACCCCCCCCTTTGCGGGCCTACCCCCCCTAGAACCCCCCCGACCACCCTGGCTTACTCCCCTGCCTCCCCGCCCTCCCCTTCCTCTCCTTCCCGCCGTTACAGCCGAGCCTCCTGCTGCTCCGGCAGAGCCTCCTGCTGTAACAACCGAACCTCCTGCCGCTACAAACGCACCTCCTGCCCCTGATACCAACCCTCCTCCTCTCCCTGCCACAGCTGCTCTAGGCGCCCCTGCCATACCCCCATCCCCATCCCCATCCTCGTCATTAACATCCTCGATATCATCCACCACCTCCTCCTCCTCCCCTTCCTCCTCCTCTGCCCCTCCACCCTCCCCTTCCCCTACTGCTTCAATGTCCTCCCTCCCCTCGGCCCCACACTCCTCCTCGTCTGCCCCTTGGCCAAGGGGGGGCAGAGACCCCTCCCTGCTGCCTGCTCGCGTGCCTGAACTCTGCCTCTGCTGGATCTGCAGATTGGGGGAACAAAGAGGAGAGGAGAGGAGAGGAGAGGAGAGGAGAGGAGAGGAGAGGAGAGGAGAGGAGAGGAGAGGAGAGGAGAGGAGAGGAGAGGAGATGAGAGGAGATGAGAGGAGAGGAGAGGAGAGGAGATGAGAGGAGATGAGAGGAGAGGAGAGGAGAGGAGATGAGAGGAGATGAGAGGAGATGAGAGGAGATGAGAGGAGAGGAGAGGAGAGGAGAGGAGAGGAGAGGAGAGGAGATGAGAGGAGATGAGAGGAGAGGAGAGGAGATGAGAGGAGATGAGAGGAGAGGAGAGGAGATGAGAGGAGATGAGAGGAGAGGAGAGGAGATGAGAGGAGAGGAGATGAGAGGAGATGAGAGGAGAGGAGAGGAGATGAGATGAGAGGAGAGGAGAGGAGAGGAGAGGAGAGGAGAGGAGATGAGAGGAGGCACAACACACAATGTCAAACAAGGGGGCAGTGACCCCTCCCTGCTTCCTGCTCTCGCCTGAACTCTGCCTCTGCTGAATCTGAGGTGGGGCAGGGATGGGGAGAGGGGAGAGGAGTGGAGGGGAGTGGAAAGGAGTGGAGAGGAGTGGTTCACTCACGTGGTACTGGCTAGCAGCACTACAGCACCACCAGAACCCTCACCCCGGGAGAAACTTCTGAGACTTTCAATTCAAGACCGGGTCAACCAGGGTGCATGTGGGGCCATTACAAGCACCTTACCTGGAAGAACACCTTCGACACCAACCACTCGCCCTCCTTCTCCTCGCCCTGCTCCCCCACGTGGTACTGGTGCATGATCCAGTTCGTCTTCCTGTCCTTCCCCCGCATCCACCCCTCCCCTGCAGGGCTATCCATACAGGTAACACTGTAACAGGAGAATCATGGACCTTACCTGGTAAAAGACTTTCGACACCACCCATTCGCCCTCCTTCTCCTCGCCCTGCTCCCCCACATGGTACTGGTGCATGATCCAATTCGTCTTCCTGTCCTTCCCGCTGCCCCCTGCAGGGCTGCTCCGCTCGTCCGCCCCCCGCTTCTTGCCCCTCTGCGCCCGCGTCTCATACAGCACCAGAATCTTCTTCCAACCGATCTAATCAGGAGGGGTTTGGGGAATCGGGGGAAAAAGCAAGCAGAGGGGGTCCTTTAAGGCGGCTGGGAACCCTCTTGCCCCTCTGCGCCCGCATCTCATACAGCACCAGGATCTTCTTCCACCCAATCTGAGAGGTTATGGGTGGAGGAGTGAAGGAAGGATCAAGGTTGGTCATATGAGGCGGCTCAACAAAACACTCTTGCTCTTGCCCTTGCCCCTGTGTGCGCACGTCTCGTACAGCGCCAGGTTTTTCTTCCACCCGATCTCACAAGAGGGGGGGTTGGGCCGGGTGGGGGAGACGCAAGCAGGGTGAGTGCTATGAGGCGGCTGAAAACCCTCTTGCCCCTCTGCGCCTGCATCTCATACAGCACCAGGATCTTCTTCCAACTGATCTGAGACGCACGTTCTAGGGGGTGAGGATGGCAGCATAAGAGAGTTATTTGAGGGAGGAAACAACAGCGAGAGTCGTTTGGATTGGCCTTAGATTCGAATCTATCGATTCAGCATGTGAGGGAGGGGTGGGGGGTGGGATGGGTCCCATACCTGCCTCAAGCCCACCTGCTTTCAGTTACGAGCAAACAAACGGCGAGTCTTCCCTGCCTTGTGCCCACTTTCCTCCCGCCCTGCATCAACATCCGCTTTCCCTCCCCTTTTTCCCCTCCTTCCCCCACTAGCAGGCACCAGGGTGACAGAGCAGGCCCAGAAGAACTGACACAGAGGAGAAAGTGGGTGGAGAGGGGGAGTCTCGTACCTGCTTTCTGTTCCGAGCAAACACGGGGCGAGTCTTCCCTGTCTTGTGCCATCTGTACCCGCACTCCTCCCGTCCTCCACCCGCATCCGCCCCCCCCACAGTGCCGGGCGGCAAAGTGGCAGCGGAGGGGCGATCTGAGAAGACCTTTCGTCTCTTGCGCAGCCCCATGGCATAGGCACGCGACGGGCGGTGGAAGTAGTGCCGAGTGGTGCCATCCGTCACGATCCCTGCAGGAGGAGAGAGAACGGAACGGAATGACTGGTGGTTTGAGTCCACTCGCAGTGCGGTTTGGCCCTCTTGTGCAGCCCGATGGCCTAAGTGTGCGTTGGGCGGTGGAAGTAGTGCCGAGTGGTGCCATCTGTCACGATCCCTGCAAGAGGAGAGAAAGTGGAAAAAGGAATGCGCTGTGGTGACTTCAGCTGACTCGCAACGATCGATGTCTCACTTGCGCAGCCCCATGACATTGGCTCAAGATGGGCGGTGGAGGTAATGCCGTGTGGTGTGGTGCTGTCCGTCACAATGCCTGCAGGAGGAGAGGGGGGAGCAGAAGGGAAGGGAGGGAATGTGTTGCCTCGCTTGCGTGGACCCATGGCATAAGCGCGCGAGAAGCGGTGGAAGTAATGGCGCGTGGTGCCGCCCATTACAATGCCTGCAGGAGGAGAGAGGGGAAAGGAATGTGCGCAGTTTGCCTCGCTTGCACAGCAAGGGCGTGAGAAACGCGGTGGAAGCAGTGTCGCTTGGTGCCGTCCCTCACGAGGTGTGCACAAGGAGAGAAGAGGAGAGAAGGGGGGCAAGGGAATGCGTCGTGATTGATGTTTGGTCGACTGAACAGCAATTCCTGGAAGTAGTCCCGAGTGGCGCCGTCCGTCACAATGCCTGCACAAGGAGAGAGCAGGGAAGGGAAGGAAATGTGATGTGATTGATGCTTGATCGACTGAAAAGCCATTCCTGGTAAATAGTGCCAAGCGGTGCCGTCCGTGACAATGTCAGCACGAGGAGAGAGCAGGGAAGGGAAGGAAGGAAAGGGAATGCGTTGGTGACGCGACGACAAGAGGGTGTGCTGGTGACGAGACGAATAGAGGCGACGCGTGACGAAAAAAAAGGTAGAGAATGCTCGTGGTTATGGAGGAGAGAAAAAGGACGAATGAGGATTTGGCATGCTGGTCGAAATTGTGAAGAGCGGAAACCTTAACCCGACGTACGCAATATTTTGCTGCCACGTCACGATGTAAACTGTGTCCAGAGACTCTAACGAAGCCAGAGCAAGGAAAGCTCTTGACGGAATCTAACAAGAACAACGCATGGCAAGTGCCAAGCGAAATCAGGAGGAGCCGAGGCTGCAGACCGACCGACCTACCAGGCAGATCCTCCGGATAAACGCTGCAGATTCCGTCTTCGAATCCTAACGTCGGAATAAACTCCCCCACGCGCGGGTGCTGCTGCCGGCGCGGCTTCTGGACACGTGGCTTGCTGCCAACACCCCCTGCGATGTTCTCTTTCCCTCGGCTGGCTTGCCTCTTAACGCCGGGCTTTAGAGTCTGTTCATCGTCGTCTATGCTAGCGTGCTCCTCGTCAAGCTTCGCCAAGAGGTGATCCAATAACTGTACATCTGTCGGCTCGAAGCGCACCCCAGCTGGGAATCCGGCCCAATCGAAAAAAGGCTGTGAGGATCCCATTTACACTTCCTAACGAGTCCAACTGAATCTGTGTACTGGAGACAAAAACGCGAAGAATAAGTCGAAATAATATTTAACCGACGGAGCATTAGGCCCAGACTAACGGGTCTATTTAAGCAAAACAAACGGCGGAACAAGCCGAGAGTATAAAAAACTAGACAGCCAATTTTCCATTCTCCGACCCAAACTCAAGAGAACCTCGAGTAATGCGAGATAAAAGAATTCGAGTTCGTTTCACCCATCAGCCATGGCTGCCGTCAAGAAAGTAGCTAACTCCCTCTCGCTTGAAACCCTCGTTGCGTCTTTCTGACGACACCAGATCCATCCAACTCCTCGCGCGCCACAGTAATCGCGACCCTCCGCCTCCGCTGGTTCACATTCGTTTTTCAAGGGGAGCCTCCGCCAAACCTACGGGACCACCAACTGAAGTCGGCTGCGCCTACAGTTCCGCGCCGAGCCATCGGCGCATCACACAAGCCGCAACGGCCCAGTCAGGTGCGCTTCTGTTGGCGTTTCCGCTTCCGCGGTTGTGTGCTCTCCGCGCGATGCACAGCGTCTGCTTGACGAAATGAAACCCTGGGAAAATGCTGTTCTGGTTGGTGATGCAATAAGCTGTATAAGTACAGTGAGTATTTTACAAAAAAGAGAACACACCCGTTTTCTAGTTATGCTCTAGTTCTCATGTCGTTACGCGACAAAATCAAGGTAAGGATTTATTTGGAAAAACAATCATAATGTCTTATATAGGATATCAACGAAACTACTATGACGTTTTTTGTAAGAAGTTTCTTACTGCGACTTGGATCTGACCGTTCTGCACCGTGACAAAAACAAGGGAGGTCCAAAAACCTTTTCTCTTTCCCGCTGTTTTGTCCAGCATTTTCACGCCAATCCTGGAACATCCTTCGCCCCAAACATTCCTCGAAGCGTCGCTTCGCACTTCCTTCCTCACATTGCTCGGCATTTTGGAAGTCAGCATCTGGTTAGCGTTTCGGTTTGGTCGATTTTTTTCCTACTGCTTTAAATCCGTCGCCAAACCCTAACATGGCGGGTTCAAGCGACGACCACCATCACCGAAAGCGGCACATGGAGGTACGCTCGCACTCGCACTCGCACTCGCAGTCGCAGTCGCAGTCGCAGTCGCAGTCGCAGTTGCAGTCGCAGTCGCAATAGCAGTCGCAGTCGCAGTCGCAGTCGCAATCGTAGCTACAGAAAGTCGGTGGTTTTTCCCCGTCCGTTGGTTTTCCACCAAGATCCCCCCAACCTTCCTAAACTACGCGCACAGTCCTCTTCCCTCTCGCGATCCCCCCTATTGCGGTACTCGTAAAGGTTAATCCTCACTCCTCGTTTCCCATTCGGTATTTTAAGCCCCAGCTCTCAGTTCCCTTCTCCTGTCCCCTGTCCCCTCCCCCAATCCCCGATCCCCATTTGTTGTCCCCATCCCCGATTTCCATCCGCCATCCCCGATTTACATCCTCGTTCTCCCTCCCCTTTTCCCCCCACCCACCACCCCCCCCTTTCACCGCTCACCTTTCCCCCGCTCCCCGTGTTCCCGTTTCTTCCCTCCCCCCCAATACCCTACCCCTTCTCGTCCCCACCCATCCTCCCGCATGTCCTTTGCCCCGGGAATCCCCCTCTTCCCTTTCCCTCTACGATCCCCGCTCCCCCTTCCCCCTCCCCTTCCCCCTCCCCCCCCCCCACCTCCTCCCCCTCCCACGTCCTCTCCCGGCCGTCACGCGGCCAAACGCCCTTGCTCCTCGCTCCGGCATGTTCTGCTGCTGCCCCTCTATTCCTTCCGCCGTGCTCCTTGCGACGGGCCCCTCGGCGCCCACGCCTTTCGCTCCTCCCCACACCCCACGCCCCACACCCCGCGCCCCACACCCCAATCCACGCCCCGCCCCGTGGCCTTGCCCCGCCCCTCCTGCCTACCCCATGCCCCCGCCCCGCTTCCCCCTGCCCGCCCCATGCCCCCGCCCCGCTTTACCCCGTGTCTCCCCGGATCCGCGCCGTTGCTTGCACCTAAACAGGAGATCAGTGGCTCGCAGAATACTGGTGTGTGTGGGTGGGAGAGTGTGTGTTTGTGAGTGCGGGTGTGTGTGTGTGCGTGAGTAAGAAAGCATGCGTGAGTGCGGCTTGTTTGTGTGCGCGAGCGCGTGCGTGTGTGTGCGTTCGTATATGTGCGTGTGTGTGAGAGAGTGAATGTGGGTGTGTGAGTAATTGGGTGTGTGTGTGAGAGAAGGGTGGAGGTATTTGCGGGTATTTGGTGGAAGAAGCCAAACTCACCAGGTACCCTTCCGTTATCGCCTGCTCTAGCTCCTTCCCCTCCCCTTCCCCCCTCCACTGCCATCCCCTCTGCAAATCTCCGCCGCTTATGATCTCAAACCTCCCTTCTTTTGGCCCCCTTATTTACCCCCTCCGCCTGGTCTCCTCCCCCCTTCCTCCCCCTTTTTTCACCCACTTTCCCCCTTGTCTGAGTTTTTTTATGTTTTTAGCTTGTCGCTCCCCCCCTTCCTCCCTTCCCTCCCGCTTCCCAGCCCTCCTGGTTTCCCATTTGAGGCGTTTGCCCGTTTTTCCTCCATTCCCCTTTGTGACTTATGGGTCGACTCAAAAGTCACCTCGTTGTCCATTGATATTCCGCTGTTCCCCTTCGTGCATCGCCGCCTTGCCTCCGCGTGAATTGAGACGGGTTTTGAGGCGCCTCAAAACTCCCCCTCCTACCTACCCCCGCCTTCTTCATTTTCTCGACTCGTTTTCCCCAGTTCTCCCCTTCCCCCTACACCATTCATACATCGCGCTTTGATCTATAATGCCCCCCCCCCCCCCAAACAGTCCCACCATGTTAAGTAAAACAGAAAGAAAAACAGAGAATAAGGATAAGGGAATAACATTCCTCCCTCCTTCACCTATCTCCGCCCCTACTTCCCATTCACCTATCTCCGCCCCTACTTCCCATTCACCTATCTCCGCCCCTACTTCCCATTCACCTATCTCCGCCCCTACTTCCCATTCACCTATCTCCGCCCCTACTTCCCATTCACCTATCTCCGCCCCTACTTCCCATTCACCTATCTCCGCCCCTACTTCCCATTCACCTATCTCCGCCCCTACTTCCCATTCACCTATCTCCGCCCCTACTTCCCATTCACCTATCTCCGCCCCTACTTCCCATTCACCTCTCGTCCCTCTCCCTCTTCCCCGCTTCCTCTCTCTCTCTCTCCCTCCCAACAAGGGGCAAGCAGGGGGCATTGGAGCCCCATTCACACAGTCCCCTGTCTCGTCCCCCTGTTGGCTTTCCCCTTATCGCTCCCCTCCCCTCTCCTCTCCCTATAGGTGTTCTATCTACTGGTGCATGAGAGCTGGGCCGGAGGAGTGATTGGCAAGCAGGAGGGGGCATTGGAGGAGACCCACTGCCTGCCTGCATCCTCACCCGATCCCATGTCTCTTCCCCCTTATCGCTCCCGTCTCCTCCTCTCTCCAGTGGTATTTCGTCTGCTGGTGCATGAGAGCCGGGCCGGCGGGGTGATCGGGAAGCAGGGGAGCAAGATCAAGCAGATGCGGGAGAGCACAGGGGCAAGGATTCGAATGTGCTCCGTGCCGCCTACCATTGTGAGCTAAGCACACACTGTTGTTAGCAAGCAAGGAAGGGCAGCAAGCATGCAAGCAGGGCAGCAAGCATGCAAGCAGATGCGGGAGAGCATAGGGGCAAGGATTCGAATGTGCTCCGTGCCGCCTACCATTGTAAGCATGCACTGTCCATCTGATGATTGTGATGGTTGGATTCACTTGTTGCAAAGTAACTTGAAGGTACATCCCAGTAGCATTGTAATTTGAAGGTGCCTCCTTCTATGCGATAAATGAATCCGGTCTGGACATCCTAGCAGCATTCTCCGACATCTTAAAACTCGATTGGTATCGCAGTGCCATTTCTCCTTCGCTCCCTCCTCCCCATTCCTCCTCTCTCCCTTTGTTTCCATCCCTCATCACTCTCCCTCCGGCCCCGATCCTTTCACTCCTCCCCCTCCTCCTCCCCCTCCTCCTCCCCCTCCCCCTCCCCCTCCCCCTCCCCCTCTTCCTCCCCCTCCCCCTCCCCTCCCCCTCCCTCCCTCCCTGCAACAAGAATCAGAGGAGCGGCTGCTAGTCATCGCCTCGCCGCCCGCCTCCTCGTTTTGAATGCACTGCAAGGGCACACTTCCTCTTCTTGGTCCGGTTCTTTCTCCAACCCTTCCCTTCCCTCCCTCCCCTCTTCCCCTCACCCTCCCCTTCCTTCTTTTCCACCCCACCAGCCATCAGAGGAGCGCCTGCTCGTCATCTCCTCGCGCCCTCCTCCGTTTTTATCAAATCAAACTTTTCTGAATCATTCCTGTCTCTCACTTTCCTTCCCCTCCCTCCCCCTCCCCCTCTCCCTCCCCCTCCCCCTCCCCCTCCCCTCACCCTCTCCCCCTCCCCCCACCAGCCATCAGAGGAGCGCCTGCTAATCATCTGCTCGCCCTCCTCCTCCTCCTCCTCCTCCTCCTTCTCCTCCTCCTCCTCCTCCTCCTCCTCCTCCTCCTCCTCCTCCTCCTCCTCCTCCTCCTCCTCCTCCTCCTCCTCCTCCTCCTCCTCCTCGTCGTCGTCGTCGTCTTGAAGGCTCCTCATCTCATAAGCACCCTATTCCCGCCCCCTTCCCCCCCCCCTTCCGCCTGCCCCTCCCCCACCAGCCATCAGAGGAGCGCCTGCTAGTCATCTCCTCACCGCCCTCCTCCTCATCAGACCCCTCACCAGCAGAGACAGCTCTCTTTGCCATGTTCCCTGCCGCTCTGCTGCCCCAGGTACTTTTTGTTAAGACCATAGGAAAGCGGGTATGTTCTGTTTTCATATGTGAGGAACAAGAGTAGGAACGAACAACATGTCGTGACTTTTGAGTCGACTCAGAAGTCACCTCATAGGAAAGCAGGTTTGTGTTGTTCATATGTGAGGAGCAAGAGTAGGAACAAGAGTAGGAACATAACATAGCTGCAGAGAGTAGGAGCAACAGGTCGGCATTTCCTCTCGCCCCCTTGCCCCGCCAGCTGCAGCTGCCTCCTTATCACCTTTTAGAATTCTCAAAAGTGATATCAGCATAGCTTCTGCACAACTCTTTCTCTCTCTAACCTTCCGCTCTGTGATGTGACTTCTCGTCTCCCTTTCGCCCCAATCAGGACGGTCCTCACCCCAACCAGAACCGCCAGCAGCAGCAGAGGGCGGACGAGTCGAGCCGATCCGTCCTGAACCTACTAGTGCCAGCGTCGCAATCGGGCGCTCTGATTGGCAAGGGAGGCCGCGTGATCAAAGACATTCGCGAGTCCAGTGGGGCGTTTGTGCGCATCACTGAGGGGCCTGCCTCGCCGTTTGCACTACCAGCAGATCGACTCGTGCAGGTGGGTAGGCTGGAGCTGGGTGAGGGGGTTTGGGGGGTGGTGGGGGGAATAAGGGAGGAAGAGTGATGAAGGACATCCGCGGGGCATTCGTGCGCGTCACTGAGGGCCCTCCGTCTCCCTTCGCCCTGCCGGCAGACAGGCTTGTACAGGTGTGCAAGGGGTGGGGTGAGGTGGGGTGGGGTGGGGTGGGGCGGGGTGGGGTGGGGCAGGGGGGTCTAGGAAACAGGAGAGGCCGCGTGATGAAAGACATTCGCGAGCCCAGTGGGGCGTGATGCGCGTCACTTTTGAGTGGGGCGTGATGCGTGTCACTTTTGAGTGGGGCGTGATGCGTGTCACTTTTGAGTGGGGCGTGATGCGCGTCACTTTTGAGTGGGGCGTGATGCGCGTCACTTTTGAGTGGGGCGTGATGCGCGTCACTTTTTGAGTGGGGCGTGATGCGCGTCACTTTTGAGTGGGGCGTGATGCGCGTCACTTTTGAGTGGGGCATGATGCTCGTCACTTTTGAGTGGGGCGTGATGCGCGTCACTTTTTGAGTGGGGCGTGATGTGCGTCACTTTTGAGTGGGGCGTGATGCGCGTCACTTTTGAGTGGGGCATGATGCTCGTCACTTTTGAGTGGGGCGTGATGCGCGTCACTTTTGAGTGGGGCGTGATGCGCGTCACTTTTGAGTGGGGCGTGATGCGCGTCACTTTTGAGTGGGGCGTGATGCGCGTCACTTTTGAGTGGGGCGTGATGCGCGTCACTTTTGAGTGGGGCGTGATGCGCGTCACTTTTGAGTGGGGCGTGATGCGCGTCACTTTTGAGTGGGGCGTGATGCGCGTCACTTTTGAGTGGGGCGTGATGCGCGTCACTTTTTGAGTGGGGCGTGATGCGCGTCACTTTTGAGTGGGGCGTGATGCGCGTCACTTTTGAGTGGGGCGTGATGCGCGTCACTTTTTGAGTGGGGCGTGATGCGCGTCACTTTTTGAGTGGGGCGTGATGCGCGTCACTTTTGAGTGGGGCGTGATGCGCGTCACTTTTGAGTGGGGCGTGATGCGCGTCACTTTTGAGTGGGGCATGATGCTCGTCACTTTTGAGTGGGGCGTGATGCGCGTCACTTTTTGAGTGGGGCGTGATGCGCGTCACTTTTGAGTGGGGCGTGATGCGCGTCACTTTTTGAGTGGGGCGTGATGCGCGTCACTTTTGAGTGGGGCATGATGCTCGTCACTTTTGAGTGGGGCGTGATGCGCGTCACTTTTGAGTGGGGCGTGATGCGCGTCACTTTTGAGTGGGGCGTGATGCGCGTCACTTTTGAGTGGGGCATGATGCTCGTCACTTTTGAGTGGGGCGTGATGCGCGTCACTTTTGAGTGGGGCGTGATGCGCGTCACTTTTGAGTGGGGCGTGATGCGCGTCACTTTTGAGTGGGGCGTGATGCGCGTCACTTTTGAGTGGGGCGTGATGCGCGTCACTTTTGAGTGGGGCGTGATGCGCGTCACTTTTGAGTGGGGCGTGATGCGCGTCACTTTTGAGTGGGGCGTGATGCGCGTCACTTTTGAGTGGGGCGTGATGCGCGTCACTTTTTGAGTGGGGCGTGATGCGCGTCACTTTTGAGTGGGGCGTGATGCGCGTCACTTTTTGAGTGGGGCGTGATGCGCGTCACTTTTTGAGTGGGGCGTGATGCGCGTCACTTTTGAGTGGGGCGTGATGCGCGTCACTTTTGAGTGGGGCGTGATGCGCGTCACTTTTGAGTGGGGCGTGATGCGCGTCACTTTTGAGTGGGGCGTGATGCGCGTCACTTTTTGAGTGGGGCGTGATGCGCGTCACTTTTGAGTGGGGCGTGATGCGCGTCACTTTTGAGTGGGGCATGATGCTCGTCACTTTTGAGTGGGGCGTGATGCGCGTCACTTTTTGAGTGGGGCGTGATGCGCGTCACTTTTGAGTGGGGCGTGGTGCGCGTCACTTTTGAGTGGGGCATGATGCTCGTCACTTTTGAGTGGGGCGTGATGCGCGTCACTTTTTGAGTGGGGCGTGATGCGCGTCACTTTTGAGTGGGGCATGATGCTCGTCACTTTTGAGTGGGGCGTGATGCGCGTCACTTTTTGAATGGGGCGTGATGCGCGTCACTTTTTGAGTGGGGCGTGATGCGCGTCACTTTTGAGTGGGGCGTGATGCGCGTCACTTTTGAGTGGGGCGTGATGCGCGTCACTTTTGAGTGGGGCATGATGCTCGTCACTTTTGAGTGGGGCGTGATGCGCGTCACTTTTTGAGTGGGGCGTGATGCGCGTCACTTTTGAGTGGGGCGTGATGCGCGTCACTTTTTGAGTGGGGCGTGATGCGCGTCACTTTTGAGTGGGGCATGATGCTCGTCACTTTTGAGTGGGGCGTGATGCGCGTCACTTTTGAGTGGGGCGTGATGCGCGTCACTTTTGAGTGGGGCGTGATGCGCGTCACTTTTGAGTGGGGCATGATGCTCGTCACTTTTGAGTGGGGCGTGATGCGCGTCACTTTTGAGTGGGGCGTGATGCGCGTCACTTTTGAGTGGGGCGTGATGCGCGTCACTTTTGAGTGGGGCGTGATGCGCGTCACTTTTGAGTGGGGCGTGATGCGCGTCACTTTTGAGTGGGGCGTGATGCGCGTCACTTTTGAGTGGGGCGTGATGCGCGTCACTTTTGAGTGGGGCGTGATGCGCGTCACTTTTGAGTGGGGCGTGATGCGCGTCACTTTTTGAGTGGGGCGTGATGCGCGTCACTTTTGAGTGGGGCGTGATGCGCGTCACTTTTTGAGTGGGGCGTGATGCGCGTCACTTTTTGAGTGGGGCGTGATGCGCGTCACTTTTGAGTGGGGCGTGATGCGCGTCACTTTTGAGTGGGGCGTGATGCGCGTCACTTTTGAGTGGGGCGTGATGCGCGTCACTTTTGAGTGGGGCGTGATGCGCGTCACTTTTGAGTGGGGCGTGATGCGCGTCACTTTTTGAGTGGGGCGTGATGCGCGTCACTTTTGAGTGGGGCGTGATGCGCGTCACTTTTTGAGTGGGGCGTGATGCGCGTCACTTTTGAGTGGGGCATGATGCTCGTCACTTTTGAGTGGGGCGTGATGCGCGTCACTTTTGAGTGGGGCGTGATGCGCGTCACTTTTGAGTGGGGCGTGATGCGCGTCACTTTTGAGTGGGGCATGATGCTCGTCACTTTTGAGTGGGGCGTGATGCGCGTCACTTTTGAGTGGGGCGTGATGCGCGTCACTTTTGAGTGGGGCGTGATGCGCGTCACTTTTGAGTGGGGCGTGATGCGCGTCACTTTTGAGTGGGGCGTGATGCGCGTCACTTTTGAGTGGGGCGTGATGCGCGTCACTTTTGAGTGGGGCGTGATGCGCGTCACTTTTGAGTGGGGCGTGATGCGCGTCACTTTTGAGTGGGGCGTGATGCGCGTCACTTTTTGAGTGGGGCGTGATGCGCGTCACTTTTGAGTGGGGCGTGATGCGCGTCACTTTTTGAGTGGGGCGTGATGCGCGTCACTTTTTGAGTGGGGCGTGATGCGCGTCACTTTTGAGTGGGGCGTGATGCGCGTCACTTTTGAGTGGGGCGTGATGCGCGTCACTTTTGAGTGGGGCGTGATGCGCGTCACTTTTGAGTGGGGCGTGATGCGCGTCACTTTTTGAGTGGGGCGTGATGCGCGTCACTTTTGAGTGGGGCGTGATGCGCGTCACTTTTGAGTGGGGCATGATGCTCGTCACTTTTGAGTGGGGCGTGATGCGCGTCACTTTTTGAGTGGGGCGTGATGCGCGTCACTTTTGAGTGGGGCGTGATGCGCGTCACTTTTGAGTGGGGCATGATGCTCGTCACTTTTGAGTGGGGCGTGATGCGCGTCACTTTTTGAGTGGGGCGTGATGCGCGTCACTTTTGAGTGGGGCATGATGCTCGTCACTTTTGAGTGGGGCGTGATGCGCGTCACTTTTGAGTGGGGCGTGATGCGCGTCACTTTTTGAGTGGGGCGTGATGCGCGTCACTTTTGAGTGGGGCGTGATGCGCGTCACTTTTGAGTGGGGCATGATGCTCGTCACTTTTGAGTGGGGCGTGATGCGCGTCACTTTTTGAGTGGGGCGTGATGTGCGTCACTTTTGAGTGGGGCGTGATGCGCGTCACTTTTGAGTGGGGCATGATGCTCGTCACTTTTGAGTGGGGCGTGATGCGCGTCACTTTTTGAGTGGGGCGTGATGCGCGTCACTTTTGAGTGGGGCATGATGCTCGTCACTTTTGAGTGGGGCGTGATGCGCGTCACTTTTGAGTGGGGCGTGATGCGCGTCACTTTTGAGTGGGGCGTGATGCGCGTCACTTTTGAGTGGGGCGTGATGCGCGTCACTTTTGAGTGGGGCGTGATGCGCGTCACTTTTGAGTGGGGCGTGATGCGCGTCACTTTTGAGTGGGGCGTGATGCGCGTCACTTTTGAGTGGGGCGTGGTGCGCGTCACTTTTGAGTGGGGCGTGATGCGCGTCACTTTTGAGTGGGGCGTGGTGCGCGTCACTTTTGAGTGGGGCATGATGCTCGTCACTTTTGAGTGGGGCGTGATGCGCGACACTTTTGAGTGGGGCGTGATGCGCGTCACTTTTTGAGTGGGGCGTGATGCGCGACACTTTTGAGTGGGGCGTGATGCGCGTCACTTTTGAGTGGGGCATGATGCTCGTCACTTTTGAGTGGGGCGTGATGCGCGTCACTTTTGAGTGGGGCGTGATGCGCGTCACTTTTGAGTGGGGCGTGATGCGTGTCACTTTTGAGTGGGGCGTGATGCGCGTCACTTTTGAGTGGGGCGTGGTGCGCGTCACTTTTGAGTGGGGCGTGATGCGCGTCACTTTTGAGTGGGGCGTGGTGCGCGTCACTTTTGAGTGGGGCATGATGCTCGTCACTTTTGAGTGGGGCGTGATGCGCGACACTTTTGAGTGGGGCGTGATGCGCGTCACTTTTGAGTGGGGCGTGATGCGCGACACTTTTGAGTGGGGCGTGATGCGCGTCACTTTTGAGTGGGGCGTGATATATATGGGCAAGTGGCGAGTCGAGTAAAAATTGACTCGTTTTGGCGAGTTTTTTGTTGCACTCGAGTCGAGTCGATTTTTAATTGTCGAGTTTTTTTGGCCAAAAATCAAACTCGAAAATCGCCCATAATATCGAGTTTTTCAAAAGCTCGTACAAGTTTTGAAAAAGCTCGTTCGAGTCAAGTAAAACTCGACTCGAACTTAACCAGCACCCACAGCCACCACTTTAGCCACACAGCACCAGCCAGAGGGTGCACAGAAATAAGGTCCATCCACGCCCACTCAACATAGCAAATACAATTTTGAGGTCGACATCCCTCAACCCAACACCCACCAGCATTCTAGCCCTACATCACCCCCACACTTTCACACCCCAACCGTGCTGCACAACGCCTGCTGCAATAGTGTCCTGACAAGAGGTTTGGGGAAACACCTCCAGCAGCCCACTCCCGCAGATAATAGCCACGCATTCATGCACCTGCTGAAACCTTGACAACGGTTACAAATCAGCAGCAATGTACCAAGCATATTGAGAAGGCCAGGTCTAGCGCCCTGGTGAGCGTCAGAGGGGGAGATTAATTTAGAGAATAGCTAGTCTAATAAATAAAGATGTCTACTATCCTGATCTAAACATGCAAAAATGGGGCCCTTCGCTCACAACTCCTCATCCAAGTCCACTCCCACTTTGTCATCCACCATGGCCACCTTGGCGGCCTTTCCCAATGGGGTGCCCGGGTACCGTGTTTGGGGGCCAGAATCATGATTCGGGAAGACTCGTGGCACGCCTGGCGGCGTTGCGTGCGAAGCAGGCAGCAGAGAACAAGGATGAAATCCAAATTTACCTTGAGGAGCCCATGCAGCCCCTATCCACAAACCCCCTTGCATACTGGCGTCGTAGGGGTGATTTGGAGGGGCTGCAGGCTATGGCAAAGGACTACTTGGCCATTCCAGCCACCTCTGCTGCCAGTGAGAGGCTCTTCTCACAAGGCAGGAACCTCATCACATGGCAGCGGCACAGGTTGGGTGCTGAACGCGTGGAGGCATGCATGACCTTGAAGTTATGGATCGCTTCGTACCCGGGCACCCCATTGGGAAAGGCCGCCAAGGTGGCCATGGTGGATGACAAAGTGGGAGTGGACCTGGATGAGGAGTTGTGAGCGAAGAGCCCCATTTTTGCATGTTTAGATCAGGATAGTAGACATCTTTATTTATTAGACTAGCTATTCTCTAAATTAATCTCCCCCTCTGACGCTCACCAGGGCGCTAGACCTGGCCTTCTCAATATGCTTGGTACATTGCTGCTGGTTTGTAACCGTTGTCTAGGTTTCAGCAGGTGCTTGAATGCGTGGCTTTTATCTGCGGGAGTGGGCTGCTGGAGGTGTTTCCCCAAACCTCTTGTCAGGACACTATTGCAGCAGGCGTTGTGCAGCACGGTTGGGGTGTGAAAGTGTGGGGGTGATGTAGGGCTAGAATGCTGGTGGGTGTTGGGTTGAGGGATGTCGACCTCAAAATTGTAGTTGCTATGTTGAGTGGGCGTGGATGGACCTTATTTCTGTGCACCCTCTGGCTGGTGCTGTGTGGCTAAAGTGGTGGCTGTGGGTGCTGGTTAAGTTCGAGTCGAGTTTTACTTGACTCGAACGAGCTTTTTCAAAACTTGTACGAGCTTTTGAAAAACTCGATATTATGGGCGATTTTCGAGTTTGATTTTTGGCCAAAAAAACTCGACAATTAAAAATCGACTCGACTCGAGTGCAACAAAAAACTCGCCAAAACGAGTCAATTTTTACTCGACTCGCCACTTGCCCATATATACTTGGCGCCTAAATCCTCGAAACATGGTGTCGCAGCTGAACGGGACTTTCTAGGCTTTTTGGCGGCCTTTGGTTTGACCACAGCCGCAGGCGCGGTAGGAGCAGCATTGTGTGGTGGACGTGGCTGAGAACAACCCATGCCTCCGTTCCCACCAGCCCCCCTCTTTGCAACTCGTCCCCCTCCTCCACGCGCTCTCCCACCCGCTCTTCCAACCTTTCCCCCACCTCGACCCCGCCTCAATCCGCCACCACGCTTCTTAGAAGGTTCCTGGTCGGCCATAGCACGTTTCCCCTTCGCATCCGCCTTTGTAGCCCGTTGTAGACCTCGTAGTGTTTTTGTGGCCCCCTCTTCCTCATTTTCCAATGCAGCAAAGTCCTCTTCCCTATCCTCCTCAACCTCATCATCCTCAGCATTGTACATCTCTTCCTCTGAGTTTGTCACCTTCTTATTCTCCTCCTCCTCCTCCTCCTCCTCCTCCTCCTCCTCCTCCTCCTCCTCCTCCTCCTCCTCCTCCTCCTCCTCCTCCTCCTCCTCCTCCTCCTCCTCATCTGCCTCATCCACATGCTCCTCCCCTCCCCCCTTTATATAAATATCATTCCCACCCTTACTCTCCCTCATGACTTGGTCGGACAACTCTTCCATGAATGCATTGCTAAACCATTCTGTTACAACCCCCCCTGCTGCCTCCCCCCACGCCTTCCGCAATCCCTCCGCCTTCCCCGCCTCCACCTCCTCCCGAGGCATGGGTCCGCCGCCCCCAACCCCCCCACCCTTGTGGTTATCATCCGCCTGCCGTGCCCCATCAACCCCCATTCCAGCCATGGCAGACCCCGCCACCATGGGGACAGCAACGTCCCCTACCGCCCCCTGCTCGGCCCCTGCAGATGTACCTGCGGCGGATGAACCCCCTCAAGCCATGTCTCTACCCCGCCCACCACCCTTGGCGGACGCTTGCAACATCTTTGCAGAGTCCGCAGCTGTTACAATGGCTTGATAACGGCGTTGCTCCGATCCGGGGAGGGCGTGGAGCTCGATGTCATCTCCATTGACACCCTCACCGCCTCATCCTGCCCCCCTACCGCCTCCGCCACGTACTCTCCCTCCTCTCCCTGCACCCGATCTACCACGCACCATGCTATTCCACGCAGTCACTCCAAAACCAACCGTGCAAATTAGCTGTTTTCACCTTAACTTAGTCTAATTCAAGGGGAGAAGACGTATGGGTCCGAAATTGAAGTGTGTTATAATGCTTGCGGGTGTCATTAGCCTTCCACCTGACTGAAACCCTAGATAAACACGATTTTGTTTAAGAAGAACACGTAGGCTGAGCGGACGTTCCTAGGTGTGGTAGAACACCTAGAAACTACCCAACGAAATGGTGGTTCCTTTTAGAACTTGGAAACCAGATCTGAAAAATGAACATTTTTTACATTTGTATCTGACCCAGGTGACGCGCGAGTTTTTTTAAGCTCGAAACTGGATAGGAAAAACTTGCGAGTCTAAAGAACTCGCGAGTAGTAAAAAAACTCGTGAAAAAACAGAGTTTTCCGCGAGCTTTTTTTTACTCGCGAGTAAAACTCGACTCGGGCGTCCGAGTTTTTCCAACAAAAAAACGAACTCGAAACTCGAGCTTTTCGAGTCCCTCGAACGAGGCGAGTAAAAACTTGACTCGTTTGCCCATGTATAGGGCGTGATGCGCGTCACTTTTGAGTCACTGAGGGCCATCCATTTCCCTTCGCCCTGCCGGCAGACAGGCTTGTACTGGTGTGCAAGGGTTGGCGTGGGGTGGGGTGGAGTACGGTTACAAGGAGGGGGGGGAAAGTGGGGGGGGTGGGAGAGGGGGGGGTGGCAGGAGGGATGAAGGGCATCCGCGAGTTCAGTGGGGCGTTTGAGACGTCTAAAAAAATCACTCATATCACATTGCGGAGGGGCCCGCTTCTTCTTTTGCCCTGCCATGCCAACAGACAGGCTCGTGCACGTGAGCATGGGGATGGGGGGAGAGGAGGGGAGGGAGATGTTGTGACTTCAGCTGATAGCAGCCGGTGTCGTGGGTGGGGGGGGCAGGGGGGTGAAGGGGCATTCGCGAGTCCAGCAGGGCGATTGTGCACATTGCACATGGTCCCTCCTTCCCCTTTGCATTACCAGCAGACAGGCTTGTGCAGGTGCTGTGGGGTGGGGTGCGGTGCGGTGGGATGGGCAGGGGGATGAAGGGCACTCGCGAGTCCAGCAGGGCGCTTGTGCGCATTCCAGAGGGGCGTGCCTTGTCGCCCTGACATCAGATGGCTCGTGCACGTGAGCAAGGGTTGGGGTGCGGTGGGGTTGGGTGGGGTGGGGTGGAAGTTGGGGTGAGGGGGGGTAGGAAGGGGTAAGGGTGATGAAGGGCATTCGTGAGTCCAGTGGGGCGCTTGTGCGCCTTGCAGAAGGGTCTGCGCCTTGCAGAAGGGTGTGCGCCTTGCAGAGGGGTGTGCCCCGTCGCCCTGCCGCTGCACTGCACCTTACCCCCATCCCACCCCATCCGGCCCCGCCCCACCTCACTCCACCGCATCAGATCACTGCAACAGCCCCGAAGCTGGAGGCAGCGCTCAAGGCGATTGCCAACGTACTCAAGTGAGTTTCTCTTATGCAAGTTGTCAAGTCACGTGTTTGAAGTAATGCTTTGAGACGTCTCAAAACATTACTTCCAACGTGCTCAAGTGAGTGTCTCTCGTGCTATTTGTGAAGGCATTGAAAGCAATGCCAAGTGTGCTCATAGCATGTCCAATGCTTGTCTTGTCCTTACACATAGCATATGCTATGTGAGAGCATGGCGTGAGAGCATGGCGTGAGAGCATCTCTCTGTCTCTCTGTCTCGCTGTCTCTCTGTCTCTCTATCTCCCTGTCTCACTGTCTCTCTGTCTCTCTGTCTCTCTGTGCCTCTGTCTCTCTGTCTCTCTGTCTCTCTGTCTCTCTGTCTCTCTGTCTCTCTGTCTCGCTGTCTCTCTGTCTCTGTCTCTCTGTCTCTCTGTCTCTCTGTCTCTCTGTCTCTCTGTCTCGCTGTTTCTCTGTCTCTGTCTCTCTGTCTCTCTGTCTCTCTGTCTCTCTGTCTCTCTGTCTCGCTGTCTCTCTGTCGCTGTCTCTCTGTCTCTCTGTCTCTCTGTCTCTTTGTCTTTTTGTTCCTCTGTCCCTCTGTCTCTCTGTCTCCCTGTCTCCCTGTCTCTCTGTCTCTCTGTCTCTGTCTCTCTGTCTCTCTGTCTCTCTGTCTCTCTGTCTCGCTGTTTCTCTGTCTCTGTCTCTCTGTCTCTCTGTCTCTCTGTCTCTCTGTCTCTCTGTCTCGCTGTCTCTCTGTCTCTGTCTCTCTGTCTCCCTGTCTCTTTGTCTCTCTGTCCCTCTGTCTCTCTGTCTCTCTGTCTCCCTGTCTCTCTGTCTCTCTGTCTCTCTGTCTCTCTGTCTCTCTGTCTCTCTGTCTCTCTGTCTCGCTGTCTCTCTGTCTCTGTCTCTCTGTCTCTCTGTCTCTCTGTCTCGCTGTTACTCTGTCTCTGTCTCTCTATCTCTCTGTCTCTCTGTCTCTCTGTCTCTCTGTCTCGCTGTCTCTCTGTCTCTGTCTCTCTGTCTCTCTGTCTCTCTGTCTCTCTGTCTCTTTGTCTTTTTGTTCCTCTGTCCCTCTGTCTCTCTGTCTCCCTGTCTCCCTGTCTCTCTGTCTCTCTGTCTCTGTCTCTCTGTCTCTCTGTCTCTCTGTCTCGCTGTTTCTCTGTCTCTGTCTCTCTGTCTCTCTGTCTCTCTGTCTCTCTGTCTCGCTGTCTCTCTGTCTCTGTCTCTCTGTCTCCCTGTCTCTCTGTCTCTCTGTCCCTCTGTCTCTCTGTCTCTATGTCTCTCTGTCTCTCTGTCTCTCTGTCTCTCTGTCTCTCTGTCTCTCTGTCTCTCTGTCTCGCTGTCTCTCTGTCTCTGTCTCTCTGTCTCTCTGTCTCTGTCTCTCTGTCTCTCTGTCTCCCTGTCTCTCTGTCTCGCTGTCTCTCTGTCTCTGTCTCTCTGTCTCTCTGTCTCTCTGTCTCTCTGTCTCTCTGCCTCTCTGTCTCTCTGTCTCTCTGTCCCTCTGTCTCTCTGTCTCGCTGTCTCTCTGTCTCTCTGTCTCGCTGTCTCTCTGTCTCTGTCTCTCTGTCTCTCTGTCTCTCTGTCTCTCTGTCTCGCTGTCTCTCTCTCTCTGTCTCTCTGTCTCTCTGTCTCTCTGTCTCTGTCTCTCTGTCTCTCTGTCTCTGTCTCTCTGTCTCTCTGTCTCTGTCTCTCTGTCTCTCTGTCTCTCTGTCTCTCTGTCTCTCTGTCTCTCTGTCCCTCTGTCCCTCTGTCTCTCTGTCTCTCTGTCTCTCTGTCTCTCTGTCTCTCTGTCCCTCTGTCTCTCTGTCTCTCTGTCTCGCTGTCTCTCTGTCTCTCTATCTCCCTGTCTCACTGTCTCTCTGTCTCTCTGTCTCTCTGTGCCTCTGTCTCTCTGTCTCTCTGTCTCTCTGTCTCTCTGTCTCTCTGTCTCTCTGTCTCGCTGTCTCTCTGTCTCTGTCTCTCTGTCTCTCTGTCTCTCTGTCTCCCTGTCTCTCTGTCTCGCTGTTTCTCTGTCTCTGTCTCTCTGTCTCTCTGTCTCTCTGTCTCTCTGTCTCTCTGTCTCGCTGTCTCTCTGTCGCTGTCTCTTTGTCTCTCTGTCTCTCTGTCTCTTTGTCTTTTTGTTCCTCTGTCCCTCTGTCTCTCTGTCTCCCTGTCTCCCTGTCTCTCTGTCTCTCTGTCTCTGTCTCTCTGTCTCTCTGTCTCTCTGTCTCTCTGTCTCGCTGTTTCTCTGTCTCTGTCTCTCTGTCTCTCTGTCTCTCTGTCTCTCTGTCTCTCTGTCTCGCTGTCTCTCTGTCTCTGTCTCTCTGTCTCCCTGTCTCTTTGTCTCTCTGTCCCTCTGTCTCTCTGTCTCTCTGTCTCCCTGTCTCTCTGTCTCTCTGTCTCTCTGTCTCTCTGTCTCTCTGTCTCTCTGTCTCGCTGTCTCTCTGTCTCTGTCTCTCTGTCTCTCTGTCTCTCTGTCTCGCTGTTTCTCTGTCTCTGTCTCTCTATCTCTCTGTCTCTCTGTCTCTCTGTCTCTCTGTCTCGCTGTCTCTCTGTCTCTGTCTCTCTGTCTCTCTGTCTCTCTGTCTCTCTGTCTCTTTGTCTTTTTGTTCCTCTGTCCCTCTGTCTCTCTGTCTCCCTGTCTCCCTGTCTCTCTGTCTCTCTGTCTCTGTCTCTCTGTCTCTCTGTCTCTCTGTCTCGCTGTTTCTCTGTCTCTGTCTCTCTGTCTCTCTGTCTCTCTGTCTCTCTGTCTCGCTGTCTCTCTGTCTCTGTCTCTCTGTCTCCCTGTCTCTCTGTCTCTCTGTCCCTCTGTCTCTCTGTCTCTATGTCTCTCTGTCTCTCTGTCTCTCTGTCTCTCTGTCTCTCTGTCTCTCTGTCTCTCTGTCTCGCTGTCTCTCTGTCTCTGTCTCTCTGTCTCTCTGTCTCTCTGTCTCTCTGTCTCGCTGTTTCTCTGTCTCTGTCTCTCTGTCTCTCTGTCTCTCTGTCTCTCTGTCTCTCTGTCTCGCTGTCTCTCTCTCTCTCTCTCTCTCTCTCTCTCTCTCTCTCTCTCTCTCTCTCTCTCTCTCTCTCTCTCTCTCTCTCTCTCTCTCTCTCTCTCTCTGTCTCTCTGTCTCTTTGTCTTTTTGTTCCTCTGTCCCTCTGTCTCTCTGTCCCTCTGTCTCTCTGTCTCTCTGTCTCCCTGTCTCTCTGCCTCTCTGTCTCTCTGTCTCTCTGTCTCTCTGTCTCTCTGTTTCTCTGTCTCTCTGTCTCTCTGTCTCTCTGTCTCTCTGTCTCTC